CTAACGCTCGATCACGATCAGACGTAGGTGAGCAACTCCAATAAAATCATGATGTAACCAAGGACCCGCCCTCAATGGAGGACGATCAAACTGGTGCAAACATTTTGGTATTTTTAGGTGGATTACATATATTTTGTATTCAAATAAAAGTCTTCTTCTTGTTCTTCTTCTTCTTCTTTTTTTTTGTTTTTGGGTACAAAGAGAGATAACTGTTCACGAGCTATTAGAAACAAACATTTCATGGGCAAGAGACACCTCTAACATCGTCCTCAAACCACGGAACGACACCGGAAGGTGGGTCTGGAAGCCGATGGCACCCAAGAGAGACCGAAACCGCATAAGTTGTTAGGTAGTCTGCAACAAAGTTCGCCTCACGAAAGATGTGACAGATCTTCACTTGCCAATTCAACTTAAGAGCTCTCTTATTCCTATTACCAAATCGAAATAAACCTCCTCTACTTTCTCTGTATTATTTGCGAATCCCTCGACGATGGAATTGTCGACTTAAGCCTCTACCCGTTGATATCCCAAGCTTCAAGCTAAGCTCAGTGTTTGTTATGTTTTTGTGCTTATTTTTATGTGTTTATATGTGTGCTCGAGTCGAGTTTAGGTTCGTTTTAATGTCGACCGGTCCATTTTATCGCATTTTGTGTGATTTTATATTTTTTCTTTTATTTTGTATTTTGGCGTACTTGTCCGTGCTTTTGGTATAATTTCAGGTTTATTTCGAGGATGAATGAGGAGAGTCGAGACGAGTACTCCAAAGTCAATTCCGAGTCAAGTCGAGTCATTTCAAACAAGCCATTTCAAACCGAGTGTTTCAAGCCTAAGTCGAGCCCGGACGCGTGCTGCCCAGTACTGGCGACCGCGCAGCCCAAGCCTTGCACTCGCGGACGCACGTCACGCCAGCCCGCACACTCGCACACCCGCGTGCTCGCGGAAAGGCTAGCGACCTCGAAAGTGATCCATCGCATATACTCGCGCCCTCGCAGGAAATGCCGCGACCTCGAGAGTCCGCGCATGCCTGCGCAGCGCTCGATCGCCCAACGCCTACACTCGCGACCACGCGAGTTCCATATGCGCAAGCCCGCGACCGCGCGAATCTGCCAGCGACGTCGAGAGCTTCTTTTTCCCAGCGTCCGCGCCGCGAATCTTCACGCGAGCCCGAGACTGCCCGCCAATGCCCGCGCCTGTACTGACGCTCCGCACGCACCAACCATTCGCACGCCTGCGACCACGCAGATATGCACGCGAGTTCGAGAGTGTCTCCGCGCCCGTGCAACCGTGCCAACTGACCAGCGCGAGCTCGCGAATTTCGTAGCTAGCTCGGGAGTGTTTTACTTAATGTGCATTTTTCTAGTGTGTGTTTTGGCTAGACTATAAATATTTTTGTTCCTTTGCATTTTGGGCATCATTCTCTCATTTTTTATTTTTCCCACTTTGGGAAACTAGCTTATGTTTATTTTTGCTCTCTAGATTAGGAGCTTATGCTATTTTTCGGGAGATTTTTCGACGACTACAGTTTTGTTCAAGTTTCGAGCTTTTGACTCCGTTTTTCATCGTCTACGCAATGGGAGATTGAGTATTTAGTTTTAAAACTCTTTACTTCAGTTTTTGCTCCGGTTTTACTTATAATGTTCATTAGAGTAAATTGGATTTGATTGATGATGGTGGAAATGCTTGAACTTGATTGCTTGCTTGAGTAGATAGAGCCGTTAATTGCTTGTTGATCTCGGTTAGACGACTAGAGTTAGCAATCTAATGCTCGTAGCTCGTTTATTCCGTTTGTCGATTGATTATCATCCCGATATGGTCATGGCATGAGACTTCGGTAATCTAGTTTGCTAAATGCTCGCGATTTCATCTTGTTTCTAGTTGTTTGCTCGTTTTTAAATGCTCGTTTAGTGTTAATCAACCATCCAATCAATTGCTTATAATGTTTAGGATTTTATTTTCCCTTTTTGTGATTTGGACGATCATATAGTAGACAAAGCTCCGAATAGCCTTCCTTCGAGATCGACCCGAGTCGGGTAGCTCGGTTATTCCTTGCCCATCAATTCTATACTAAACACTCAGACCCTGGAATAATCCCCATAACTTCACTTCTGTTGTAGAGCATTGCCTGGGAATCTATTATGGGCTCCGTCAAAGTTAACCTTTATCCATAAATCCAACGGCGGTTCTCATCGAACAAGGCGTTGGACACGAGTAGTTCCTATGATGCCAATATTCTAACCCCATCAGCGAAGTATTTATCGATAAAGTAAGATTAATTAACCATTAGTCAATGTGTAATATCAATTTTAATGTATATGTATATCAATTTGTTACATTGCAATGGGATGTCAACTTCAGGGCCGTCTCCAGAAATTTGGAAGCCCCAGACAAGTTTTTTCTTTTCGAATTTTCCCGATTTGAACTTACATGGTAGTTAGAGCTATTTGCAGATAGAATCATAAATTTAAACGAGATTATTAAATAAATAAATAAATAAATAATTGAACAAAAAAAATCTTGTTTTTCTTGAACTTTGAATTGATAAATTACTTATAGGCTACAAAGATCTTTAATAAATTAAATTCAACCAATCACGAGGACAACAAAGAGAAGAAAATAAAAATCATCTCACTACAAAGAATATTTATTCTCACACAACTTGTTCTGACCGAACATCATACAAAAACAAATGACACATTTAGGGCCTCAATTTCCCACACAAATTATATATTTTGCCATTTGTCACTTTATTTGTGTAATGGCTTGTGTAATGACTCAAGTCCATATTTAGCCATTAACCCCTTCATTTGTATAAATATTGTGTAAATAGACAAAATCCTACACAAATACATAATAGTAAAATAATAATGAGGCCTCATTTGTATAGATAGACAAAACCCAACACAAATAGTAATAGAGATAATTAAAAAAAAAAAAAAAATGAGGCCCCAAATAAAATAGAGGCCCTAGGCCCATACTAAGTTGCCTACCCCCTAGAGCCGCCTATGGTCAACTTCACATGGTGGATCCATTTAAAGTTCCCCAAAATCTATGAACTCTAGTCATAGACCATCATATCCAAATTAAGAGTAATGCTCCCCTATCCACGGTGGACACATTTTAATATATTCACCGCTTATGTAACATGCACATATTGGTCATGTTAATATGTTCAAAAAAATACATCACCAATGTGTGCATGCCACATAAACGGTGGGTATATTAACATGTGCTCACCGTGGGTAGGTGAACATTATTATCCAAATTAAAGTGCCTATAAATTCAATGCTTATCAAGACTTAAACTACTGGTTCATTAAAATTACCACACTCACTGTGCAGGACTTCAGTGCCCATGCAAATGTTCAAATTAGTTAAAAAAAAAAACAGATTTGTTTTACCAAGTAAATTCATCACATATACTCTTCAGATTCAAAAGGATTTTGTAGTAATTTTATAAAAACAAACCTCACAAATAGAGGAAGAGACATAAAAGATGGCCCACGAATGCAACAGTTTTCATGCATAATTGTGTAGGGCCCAGTAGATGAGTTTGTTTGTGTGGTGGACTCACCTTAATTATCACTGTCTCACTCAGTAAATGGGCCTTTTGAGGCCTCTTTTCATCTGGTCCTGATGTGTTGTCACACGAGTACCCATTCCATGTGTGTCTATGTGGTTTTTTTTTTTTTTTAAAAAAAAAAAATAGTGCCTATTTTTCACCAGCATAATTTAATTTATTTTTTTTTTTTATTTTAAGTTAAAAGGTACTGAGTTTTTTATTTATCAAATTGAAGCACGCCATGAACAAATTATTTATCAAAGAATTACAAGTGCCTGAATTTATACTTTAGGAAAAGAAAAATGAAATGCTACAGTCTCATTACGCAATTATTTCATTGAAATTTGTAACTGTTAAATTATCATGTAACCGTCGTAGATAATTGATCTAACCGTTACAAATTTCGATAGAATAGTTTCGTAACAAGACCGTAGAATCTGTGACAATTTAAATCGATTAAAAAGTGTCGTCATTAGTTATATTCTAAATTTTAATATTAGTACAAAAATAAAACTAGACAATGAATTACTTAACGGGCAATGCTATATGTACACCCCCTTTTAATAAATTACACAAAGAAAAGTGCTATATGTACACCCCTTTTTTACACTTGAGGGGGTGTACATATAGACACCCCCTTACTTAACCCCACAGCCCACAACATTAAAGAAGCCTTAGAAAATTATATTCATTTTTTTTTTTATATTTATTTTCAACTTATTTATTTAATTATTATTTAATTTTCCTTCTTCCTTATCCCTTGTGTTTCAGCTGGCGCCTTTGTTAACGCAGCAAGCACTCTTTCTCACTCTTCAAACCCAAGCAAAAAAAAGTGCTCCAAAAAACCAAGCAACGAATCCATTACAAAGTTTCAAGCTTTCACCCACTCGATATCTTCCACTTTTCCCGACGTAATTTGAACTCCAAATTTTATAGGGCAGATGAAAAGAGATCGCGAGCGCAATAAAACAGATTCGGTGGCACCCACCGCCGGAAAATCGAATCTTTGGCCGGAGCCGCAGCCGCAGGACGCCG